GCGGAAATGCTTTCTCCGGCGAGCTGCCGCGGCGGCTCCCGGTGGCGCTCCGGTACATCTCCCTCTCTAGAAATCTCCTCCGCGGCCCAATTGACTGCCTGGATTCCCTCCCGGAGCTCGCCTACGTGGACCTCAGCGCAAACGAGTTCAGCGGGCCCATCCCCGGGTCCCTCTTCCGGGCCGGCGTTTCCTCAATTTTCCTCCAGAGGAACAACCTCACGGGACGCGTGCCGCAATCGCCGCCGTGGCCGTGCTCGACGGTGGACCTCAGCCACAATTTCCTTTGGGGGGAGGTGAGCACCGCCTTGACGGGGGCGGAGGCGGTGTTCCTGAACAACAACAGGCTAAACGGCGTCATTCCCGGTGAGTACGCGGAGAGCGTGATGAAGGGGGAAATGAGGACGCTGTACCTGCAGCACAACTACTTGACGGGGTTTCCGTTGGACGTCGGGTCCACGCTACCGGACGCGGCGGCGGTGTGCGCCGCGTACAACTGTATGGCGGCGCCGCCGCTGGGGCTGGTGGCGTGTCCGGCGAGCGCCGGGGAGCAGCTGTCGAGGCCGGCGTACCAGTGCTCGGCGTTTCATTAGATGGGGGATCTCGCTTTTCTTGCAATTTGGCTCAACTGTATTTCTTAATTTTTTTTTTTAATTTTAAACAGAAAAGTTAATAATTGTGATTACTGATTGAGTATCAAGATTTTTTACTTGAGGTGTAGTTGTCAACTTGTTTGATTTGATTGAATGGGACACGGGATTTTGAGTGTAATTTGCATGTGGTATTTAGACAACATATTTTAGGTCTATTTATGGTATATTTGCATGATAATTCTTGTGTTGATGTGGTTTTATATTTTGTTTCATTTAAAATTTTAATAACATAATGTTAAGATTCAATTATAATGGAGCACATCAACCCATTTGAAATAGACTAAAAAACAAGAGTGTACAAATAGACATTTCATGTCATCATATAATTATTTAAAAAACTCAAACACGAAAATTTCACATGCTAGCTAGTATGGTAGAGTACAAAAACCTTAAAAAGTAGCCTAAAATGTCATATTTCCTTTTCCCCCTCTAAAGTTGTGTTTGCATATAAATAAACTCAATGCACCTCGATTCATATTCATAATCTAGCTCAACTTACTATTTTTAATATTATCAATATAATTAAATAATATCACTCAATCATTCTTACATGTCACATCAACTTTAATTCACTATTCATCCACTCACATAATTTTAACTACCTATCATTTTCAATAATTTTCAATCATTTATTCTCTTACTTTTACATCAAATCAATTTTAATTATTTTATCTTAAATATTATTTTAATACATTCTTAAAATTCTACTAACAATAATCATACCATATTTTTCAAAATTAACTATGATTAACTAAAATAACTCATTTTGAACCAATTGTTTCATAAACAAGTCCTAATTTTTTTTTGAGATCTAAAGGGTAAATTGCGCCAAACCCCCCTATATTATACGAAATCTACGCGTTATCCCCCTGTATTTTAAAAATTGCGCCATACCCCCTTGTATTATACTTTTGATTGCGCGTTATCCCCTAAACCGTCTAATTTGACGGAAGTGCACTTCACGCGCGTGTGGTGTGACTTTTTCTCTATTTTTTCGCCATAAACTCACAGAAATTACTATTTTGCCACTAATACCTGAATTATATATATATACATTATTATATATATATTATATTATATAATATATTATATAATATATGATATAATAATAATATATTTTATAATATAAAATAATATATAATATATATTAATGTATTATATATATTAAAATCGTTATTATATATAAATACGTTATATATAAATTATATATAAATACGTTATATATATATACGGTTATTATACATATATAATATATATACGTTATATAAATATATAAATTATATAAATGTTATATATATGTATATTATTTTCTTTATATATAATTTAGAATATATATATATTATTTGACAGTAATGGCATAATAGTAAATTCAGTGATAAAGTAATAGCATAATGGTAAATTCAGTGATAAAATAAAGGTATAATGACATAATGGCAAATAAAGTAAGGGTATAATGGTAAATTTGACGAAAAAAAGTAACACCGTCAGTAGTAAAGTGGCGGTGTTAACATCAAAGGGAGAGTGTGCAGGCAGATATACAATAGAAGGGGGTTTGACGCAATTTTTAAATTACGAGGGGAAAACGCGCAGATTTAGTATATTACAGGGGGGTTTGGTGCAATTTACTATACCATTTATAAAATAAATAGAAATAAAAGTAACTGGAAAAGAGCTACGCTAGGATACAAGTAGGACTAGAAATCATTAATGTGTGCACGCAGAGCAGCGGAGGAGAATGCACATGCTTGTGGGCGTCGGCGAGTGAGTACGGTGGGTCCCACGAGTAATTTGTGTGCCCCGGCAAAAAAAAAAAGAAAGTATTTTTTA